GATTTTACGGGCTAATCTGTCGGATACGCAAATCCTAAACCTTAAACCCTAAACCACAAACCCATGGAGCTTGCTGAGGGTCTGGCAACGGCCACCAGACGGCTGTGCGCATGCAGAGCGGACTGGTAGGCTGGCGCCTTGCTCCAAGCCTCGGAGAAGAACTGCCGTGCAGGCAGCAGGAGCAGGAGCAGTCTTTTGGGTTCAGGGATTAGGGTTTTTTCCCCTCCTACATAGCAAGGACGAGCCCGCAATGCAGGGTACAATGAGTTCTTTGCGACAGATGCAGGGTTCAGGGTTTAGGGCATAGGGTTTCAGAACTCACGACTGCGACAAGCCTGGGTATAGGGTTTATTTAGGGTCTCCATTGCTCAGAGCCGGACGACGGCTTCGAGCAGTAGCTTCCACCCTGGCACGATGGCTCGGGCGAACTCGGCAGATCCCATGACTTGGGAATTTTGGCTTTGAGTTTCCGGTGTTGGATGTCCGGACGATCACAAAAAGTACTCGCTGATGTATGTGTTGTTGAAAGCTTACTTGCTCCATCTCCTATCATTCTAGGGCTCACAGCCCAGGGGGGGGGGTCGAACGCCAGCACCTCGCCTCTCTGAAATTGCTGAAAGAATCCGGCCAGGACCTCGTCGACCTGCACCGAAAAAAAGCTCGTCAGAGCAGACATCTACAGGGGTATGAACAATTACTACAATGGTACCTCATTCCAGTCCCCAAATTATAACTACATGCTCCTAGAGTTACAGTACTGAACTCAAAGAAAGAAGTAAAGAAGTTGGGTCGCTAGGGATCCATGGATCCTTGAAGAAAGGACCATGCTGCCCAGTAACAGCTCCACTCGCGCACTCGCCCATACGGTGACTGAGCTGACTCACCGCACATTTCCCTGCCATCTTATATACCGTCTTACATACCTAGCTACTTAGGCACACACACACACACACCCTCTCTCTCTCTCTCTGCAGTTTGCGCCCGGACCAACAACCAAGCATGTATGGCCAACCTAAACAGCCAGCACTTCTGCGCAACCAAGCTTCGACTGATACGCATGTCTGGCCTACTGAAACAACCAGACCATGCAGTCACGGCCAAAGCTTTAACTCTCGACCCGAGAACTCCGCGACCGACACGCTGTCTCACACGCACACACGCACGCACACACGCCCGCGCACACACACACACAGAGACACGTATACAAGTATATGCACGCACACCCTGGTGCGCACGAAGAAGCGCACGACATGTGGGGAGTTGCTTCCTAGCAGACAAGTTGGGCCATATTTTTTCCATGCGCGAGCGCTCTCCTGACATCCAGCCGAAGCCTTGATCGATCGATCCCTGCATTAAGGACCGGCCTTCAAGCAAAACGCTGGGGAAAACACGCTGGCCATCCCCGACAAGAACTCTTAAGAGGCCCCGGGTTGGTGCGTCTCAAAACTTTCTGACATAATGGGCCAAATGCAGGGTCCCGTGGCCGAAGATGCCCGAAGCGGTCGAACAAGATGAAAGCATGAAGTCTCTGGGCTTGGGACCATGCCAACAGGCTCCGACCCTTCCCTCTTTCTCTGTCTAAGAGATCGTGAGTCCTGTCCTGAGTGAAACATTTAAAAAGCGTGTTGAACTACAAATTCAAGCAAGAATCGCCCTATCCCCAGGATTCTGGGAAGTACCACGAAAATCCTGAGTGCGACTAACTAACAGATTAGCACAGGAAGGCACATGAGCCAGCGTGGAGTCAGACCTCCAATTGCGGTGACTGCATGGGAACAGCTTCAGCAGGCCCAACCGCACCAGCTCCTGCGCTCTCCGAGAACAAGCTCTTCCGCCGTGCCACTCGATTCTTCTTCTCGTAGCGCCTCTTCATCCTCAGCGTCGAGCATCCCTGAACTCCCCTGACGTCCCCGCATCTCCGCCCGCCCCAGGCTGCAAGACACTGAAATCCTCCAGCGGCTCCGAAAAGCTGACGAAGCTGAGCCAAGGATCGATCTGTAGCTGGCCAAGTAGCTTTCGCTGTGGGACAAGTGGCAATAGCGAGCAAAGCATTCGGGCTTGGTACATGCCGGGTACCTTCCGGCAGGACCCGTCTGCTAGAGGCTTCAGAATCGAATCAATTGTGTCATGTTTCGGATCCTACATCGCCCGGCCTCTCCGGATCCGCATAATACCGGGTTTGAAACAAGCATGGCTGGCAGCATCCCTTTGCATGTTGTGCATCGGGATTGCCTTGGCCAAGCTTCGAGTTTTTGCAAAAGGCTCTGTGCCAAGCAGCGCAGGAAACTGCCAGATATTCCTATCTGGCTACATTGGTTTGGCTGCATTTTGCGAGACTCTGAAGAGATCCCCCCGCAAAATCCCAGCCCAGCTGCCTTCAGTGGAGCTAGTAGAACCCGAGGGAGGTTCGTCACCACCATTGCCAGCTGCATCCGATTCCGGGTCCTCCATGTTCAAACGTCTAACTATGACTACAAATATGACCATCGCAGACTGCCAGAACGCACTACCAGGTTCGGGTCAGCCTCGCCGCGACCCTCGAAGCCACGCTCGGATGGGACGGCTGCCTCTTATTCCATTTGATTGCATTTTGCCACAACACTCCCCTCCCCAAACCTCGCCCGGGTCACACCAGGCCTCCGGTGGCGGTGCTGCCGCTGGCACTGCAGTTCCTGGATCGGACCATGCCCGGCGACCGGGCACGGCACCCGTCTGCGAAGCCTCTTCGGGAAAGTTTAGGAAAGTGTTCTGCACCTGCAGCAGCTGCTCGTGCCGGCCATCTAAGCCACTCGAGGACTCCACCGCCACAGATGTACTCTCTGGGCCGGAACCCTGCGAACAAAAAAGTGAAAAACGCCAACTCTGTTTTAAGTTCACTCGCACACGTGGCTGCTCATCCGATTCCGTGTGCACCGCTTCGACAGGCACGGCTCCCAACCGAAGGATCTTCAACATGTCCTTGCCGGGCTTCAAGTCACCTGCCCGAATGACCCGCCCACCGCCAAGGCCAGCGACGCCTCTACCAGCTCCCTCAGCCTGCTCACCCACTGCACGCACAGGATGGTCTGCTGTCACGGAAATTGCAGTACCGTCTGCCAGCGACACGCGTGACCACTTGCAAGGGCCGGTAACAACCTCGCAATCATCAACCTCCACGAGTTTGATGCTGCCCGCGAGGTGGTCGTAGCAAACAACCCGGTCTCCAATCTTGAGTTGGGACGCAGGCTTCCCTCCACCGTCCACGTGAACGGTTGCAGACATGGGCAGGCAGTCGCAGCGCGGGGACGTGCTTTGCAGTAGGGCCAGGGAGTCCATGTTCGGAGGTGCACTGAAAGCTGAGGGTGGTGATTTTCGTGCCATTTCTGCGGCGGTTTGAGCGCAGTCAGCAAAGCCGTGACCGCCATGACCCGAAAGGTAGGATGTCTGATCGTCCTGTCGTACCATGGAATCATTCAGCTGCTGAGCTGCAAACTCTACATGACACCGCTTCAGCTTCTCGTCGATGATGCCGGTCTTGAGGCTTTCTTCTCGGCGGAAGTGGGCGAGTCGGTCCGACCATGAGAGCCACCTGACCAAGCACAGCATTACAACTGCAACGAGAAGCGTCAACTGCTCTATGAACATCTCGACGACGTCGTGAGTGAGCTCCTGATCCTCCAGAAAGAAATAAATGATGGCAGCGGTGATAGGGAAGGCAAAGAATGCAAATGCTAGCATGGAGGCCACCAGAGTTTGCACTCGGTCCAAGACCGTGAGGCCCAGGACGGTGAGCAAGAAGACAAAGTGCGTGGGGCCAAGGTACATCCCCGAAACAAAACGGGATGAAAAGCCAGGCAATAAGGTCTTGGCTACGTACACTCCAGCCATGAAGCCACTCCAAGACATGACAAAGCTGTGGAATGCAGTGTCCAAAACCCAGCGACAAGAACTGCGGCTTCGCAGGCATTGCGGGCAGCATCCAAACAACCGCCACGAACGGACGGCACAGATTACTACAGGGGCAAGCGGTTTCGGAAATGAGTGGCGGGCTTCCAATCCAAGCCCCTGACGGAGAAAGATCTGGTAGCCAATGTAGAGCAGCATGTAGCACGACTCCACCGCCAGCACGAGGAGCTCGTATCTTAAATCCAGAAAAACGAGGAAGCACAGAGAAAAAACCAGTAAGAGCCCTTGTTGAATCCCACAAAAAAAGAAAGCTTCAAAAGAAACACCCCCTTGACTCTTGGACCCTCACAACTAAAATCTCTTTTCCGCCTTCGCGAGTCATTTGAACTCCATTGCTCAAACCTCTCGGCCGGGCTCAGCTTCGCCAACTCTTCGAAGCCATCGGTTGCCATCTCGCCAGCGCTCGTCATCGCAAAAAAAAAGATGCGATGAATTCTCAGATGAGAACGTGACGAGTGCTGGGTCCTGCCATTACCTCCATCTAGCTGAATCTAGCTGCCTGCAGTCCTCGTGCTGTCAATCCATGCTCTACCTTTAGCCCATCATCTTCAGCCGAAACCGTGATGCAAAGAATGCCGCATCCATGTGATCAAGCTTCGTTCGCTCAGAACCCTCGGAAGAGCTAAAACAGAACATCCAGGAGTGTGCTGTCCTGCATGCCTTGATACACACAACACGACGCTAGGCAAGCCAAATCAGAAGCAAAGGCCCACATTGTCACATGACAGGCACCTTTGCATTGTCGCCAGCACGACGTAATTGTGTGGCCAGCTCTGCCATGCCACGGAACCTGAGGACCACATGGACTGGACTTCAACGTGGATGAACTTCGGGCAAGCCCAGATACAGACTCTCGGCTTCAGGAACGCCGGTGTCGACCATCCTAGATAGTCCTAGACGAGACACGGGGCGCGACCGGAGAATGGGGTGCTTTCGAGCATCAAGCTTGCCTTGTTCCGGGATCCCCTGCATGGCAAAGGTCGGAAGTGCGGCACAAGGCATGCCAAGGCGGTGCCCTTTCGAAGCCCTTCTCTCCGAGCAAGCTTCGCTGATGGCTCTGAGGCCACTGCCCCTGTGCCAGCGCTGCAGGCGATCTTTGGTCTGGGAAGAGGCCCTGGCCATTCTAACATTTGTCTTTGAGCACTTCAAGCAAGTACCCCTGTAAATGCTCGCTGATGCAGAAAGAAAAGCAGCAGTTCTTTTGCATCTAAGCAGGTTGAATCGACGGAGCTGCCACAACAGCTTCCCCAAAGGCAGGGTGCTACATGCCTGCACTTTCTAAGCAGTTTCACATAAGCTGTGAACGCTTCGTCCGTAAGCCAGCTCATAGTGTGCTCCGCATGACCTCAAGTGATTTTTCGGACACGCTTCAATACCTGTCGACCCCGCAGCCCTTCGCAGGATTTGCCAGAGCAGAATCAAACCTCTACAGGGTCGTGCAAGAATAAGCCGGGAAGGTGAAGATTGCTCCTACACTTGGGCACTTGTGTAGCTTTCCATCCGCCTCATGGCTGACTGCATCCGAGACCCAGTCCTAAACACGGAAACCCGAAGTACAAACACGCACTGTGCCACTCGTGATTCAATTCTGTCAATCCTGAATATCCCGGGTCCGGAAGGACAGGCCAGGCGCCAAGTAGGTCTGAATGGCGTGAGGCGGTATGGATGTCTTCACAGCCTGACCACCCATCCTCAGGGCAGTCAGCAAATGCAGCTGCAGGGAATCAGGATTTACATGCGTCTTCTGGGCTAGGCAGAAAGAAGATAACTTGTGGAAACAGTCAACAGTACTCGACCCATGACAAGTACTGCTGCGTGTGGAAAAATTATCAGGGAGGCATGCGCTAGAAATGCCTGCAAAATGGAGTTCCAGGCCGTGAGTTGGCGAACGGCTGACAGGGGACGATCAGGTTTGCACTGACATGACGAAGCACTCGTAAAGTTCGAAAGATCTCCAGTCATTGATGTTAGGGTTTGGTTCCCCAAGCAGCATCAACCGAAACCCCCACGTTCACCCCTACGTTCAGCTACGTAAAATCTCCACTTCACTTTTGTTCGAAGGGCTCGGATCCTGTTGCACAGGCTTCGAGATTTCCAACTGCAACTCATGTTTCGCAGATGCTACTGCCGATTGAAGGGACGGGAGGTGCGTCACCCAGTGCTACCTACCACTGTTCGCGACCTGTCTCTTCTTGCATTGCCATGTCTGCTCAACAGAAAATGACCCTCGAACCTGCCACAACAGTGCACTTCCCACCCAGAGCCCCAACTCTGTGGAATGCACCAGTTGCAAACACAACTACATCATACCACATCCAGGCATCTGAAGCTTGAAGCTGACAGGCAGGTCTGCAGCGTTCAGCACCACAGTGGCCACGAGACCTTGAGGTTCGGCCCTAATCACCCAATTTCTAGCTTGGTGGTTTCGACACGGGACTGCGAACTGTCATGGGGACTCCCCAACGACTCCTGAACGCTGGAACCCTGGGCTTCTCATGAGCTGGGATAGACTTGAGTTTGGGCACCATCCGGCCGGACGAAGGCGGCTGCCTGCAGCCCATCCTGCAGGCGACAAAAGAGTCTCACTATGGGCCTATGGGCAGAAGCAGCTAATTGAAGTGCAAGCAGCTGCTGTTGGTGCTGTAATTGCAGCAATAACAGCGACGACCAAAACGACGACGACTGCGCGTGAGCACAACCTATTAACAACTTAGATAGAATGTTTAAAGTATGCACTGAAACGGCAAAATACCAAGCGCCATAGCTACAACTGGTTTGATCGTCGGGGGCAGAACATGGCCAAACGGGTCAGCTTCCAGGAGCAGACCGTTGTATCTGCTATTATCTGCTGTTTCGGTCGGCAACAGCCCACTTCCTAAACATAAAACCCCACATTGCGCAACATTAAAACCCAAATGTTCTCACCTGAATCCCGGTCCAAAGAACCTTCCCTTGCCTGGGCCGAGCAGGTGCCATACCTCCGCGTCGCTCCCATATAGCGGGGAGTATTCCTCACGCTGGTGAGCAAACCTCAGCGCCGAGGCACATCTTTGAGATGGCTGGGCAGCGGAATCTAACCTAAGGGAATGGGAACTCCCGTATACTCCTGGCACTCTGCCTAGTCAGATTAAGGTTCGTACTGAAATTTCAAGTTTCCGTAGACACTGAATGTTGAAGTTGCCTGGCAACTAAACCAACCTGAAGCCCAAGTTGGCCGGGAAACGTTTCGATCCAGGTCTTATGTACTTTGCGAAGTGACCCAGGAAGAAGAACTGCGGATGCAAATGGATCTGCTGCTCGGTCCTAAGAAGAAAGAGCAGAGCACCGTCATGGTGGGGGTGTCAACCCGATGCAATCGCTAGAATTCAAACGATACATAGAAAGATGCAGAGACAAAATCCTTTACACCAAGTCTCAGACTCGCAATCAGAGGCGCGTCACAGACGTTCCCCACGTGGTTCGGGCCCCCATCCTCATTCAGCAGTAGATTCCAGTCAATCCATCCCGCGCCTTGGACAAAGCGGACATATGCATTCTTGGCGAAGAGGTGAGAACCCTAAACCCTAAACCCTAAACCCTAAACCCTAAACTAAGGTTTGAAAAGTATTCTTCTAGGCCCCGCCCACCTCCAGCATTCAGGTCGCCCATGATGTCGTGCGCATAGCCCTCTCCGAAACTCCAGTCGCCCTGCCTCACACAAAGGAAGAGAAGGGGACTTTTTTTTTGGCATTCTTTGATTGCTCGGAGTTTTGGTTCACTGAACATCATCTACACTTCTCCGCAAGCAAGAGGCAGTAGGCTGCTCCCTGACTTCCACCGGTGCCGCTCGTAGCAGGCTTCTGAGGGAAGGAGCACAGCTGAGGGGAAGTCCTCGGTGGAATCCCAGCGTGGCAAGTCCTACAAATAGCACGACGCGGGTGTGTTGGAGCCGAGATCCTCGTGCGTGTGCCGCACTTTCTCGAAGTGGTCCCCGGCATACCAGTGGAACGCGATGCCCCGCACGAAGGGGACGGCGGCCTGGTCTCTGAAGAGCTGGCAGGCCCAGTCGTGCACATGGTCCTGTCGGGAGCTCACTCGTGGGAGCCGGGAAGGATTGCAGGAGGAGTCCCCGCTTTGTACCCGGTCCTTGTTGTGGTCAAAAGCAAAAATCCCGACTTCTGGATGCAAAGCCTGCAGGGTTGGACCGAGATGGCCGGCGATAAACGCCGCCTCCTCCCCGGCTGTGTAGCAGCAGGCCTCCCAGGGCGCGTTGTGCTCTGGCTCGTTCTGCACGCTTACGGCCCAAATTTGAATGCCATGCTGCTTGTAAGCATCAATCCAACTCGCAAAGTATCTGGCCCATGCATCTCGGCAATCTTCCCTGAGACCTGGTGAATGCGATCCATTCATCGCCCCGTTCATCTTCATCCATGCAGGAGGGCTCCATGGTGAAGCCATTAGCCGCAACTTTCCGCCAGAGCTTCGCACAAGCTTTTGAGCGCCCCGTATCATGGGGATCACGGCTTTGGCATCGCGGGCGAGGCTGTAATCAAAGTGTACCAGGTCATGATCCTCCGGAATATCATCGAAGCTGTAGTTGCCCATGGAGAAATCGCAGCTGTTGATGTGCACACGACCGAGGGAATAGCCGATGCCTAGATCTCCAAAGTACAACTCGAGGACCTCCTTCTGCAGGTCCGGGTGCAGGCCTGTCCATGCTGTTCCAGAAATCGAACCCCTTGGCCTCGAGTCTACCTGAGCCCCGTTTCCGCGATCCTACCTAGTGACCAAGTGCTTATCGCCGCTGATCCTCGGCACAATGACATTCACTAACGGTTGACACCCCCGCGCTCGCTCGCGGAGAGAAAGGGTAGACCACGGCCTTGGAAGACCAGGGCGCTTGCTTCGGTGAAAGCGCCACCGAAGCCCAGAATGACCTGAGCAGCAAGGATAAGGATGCACCGATTTCTGAAGCCTGGAACTCCTCCTGGCTAGACTTTGGCATTGACGGCATCTGTGCAGGAAAACGGACATCAATCACTCGGAGCTGTCGATACCATGAAATTAAAAAAAGGGTGGCCTGATCCGATTGTTGAATGTCGACCCGGATGGTGGTACCCTGGAAGTCAAAGTCAGGCGTGAGAGGCAACGGCTCCTGCAGAGGCTGTGCCCAACTTCCGGATTCCGGGTGCATGCGGGCATCGTGCCCTGGAGCTTGGAAATCGCTCCGTTCACCCTTTCTGCGACGAAGTCTGTGTGGTGATCTGCTCTGAAATCCAACAGACAGCTGTCATTGCTAGTTGCCGTTGCTTGTGTCTTCGATAAACCTTATCACCATTGCCACAATTCTGTACTTACTAGTTACTAGTTACTAGTACTTACTGTTGCTTTTGGAGTTGCTATTGGCTGACTCCTGCTAGTGCTGCGGTTGCGCATGTCAATGTTCCAGACAAGCCAGGCTCAAGAGGACCCTCTTACTTGCGTACTCTCACAAAGCATGGGTGGAAAGTTGAAATTCTGAGCGCCGCTTACGCGACGAAGCTCACTCCAATGGTCGAAGATGCCAAACTTGGAACCGGCTCCTTGACTTGCATCCGGTCGCCCGTATCTCGACAGGTCTGCACCACCTCAACAGCCAGGCCTCGGGGCAGTTCCGGATGCACCCGGATGCCCACACATGCACGGAGGAAGAAGTACCGCTTCGTAGAGAGTTCGAGCGGACAAGAGCATCGAATACTCCCAACTTGAGACACTTACGAGACACAAGAGCTTTTAGGGTGTTGGAAAGCCTCATGTCAACGAAACCGCCCGGACCCTACAGTGCTCCAGCAGGGATGGCCTGGCCGATCTCCCCAAACCCTCCTTCTGCAACATTTCTCCACTGAGTGCCGGGCTGTGTGGATGACAAGGCCTCATCTCAAGCACATGGCAGCCGCAGCTTGAACGTAGAGAGTCGGAAGCTGCCGAAAGACTAGCGAAAGCCGATGTCGAAGCCCTGGATGCCACTACTTATCGTTGGTTTACACACTTATAGATTCTAGCCCCTGTTCTACAGCCGAGTTTACGGAAGTGATCTGTCTAGCAATCTATCTCGACTGGGGATCTGAATTCTCACAAGACGGACGGACACTCCAGATTTTTTCACACTCCAAACTAGGGGTTAAGGGTTTAGCATGCTGAGGCTTTTCAGCATCTATGAAGAAATCTCACACTAGGCCAAGTCCCAACGAGTGCTGAACACTAGGAGTTGTGTTTTCAGCGTCAGTGATGACAGGGGCTCCCACTATTATCTAGTGTGGTTTAAAACAGCCCCTTTTTCTGAAGCCTCAATGCAACAGAGGCGCATGGGTCGCCAACCTGGCTCGAAGCGCCACTGCACAGGCTGGGGGAGCGGCTTTTGTGCCTGGAAGCCACGATGCAACGGGACGGGTTACCTATACCAGAGTATACACGCCAAACCAAGTCAACATTAGCATGTAGGATCTTTGAAATCTCGTGACACATGATGCACAGCAGCCGACTGCTGCGAAATCTCGACCGTTGCGCAAGTTTGTTCACAGAACTGACTATTTTCGGTAAACATGTCTGTGGCTCTGATCCCCCAACCCAACAAGCCGTACCGATCTCGTTGTCGTGTTCCTCGTGCTTGCCGAAAGTTGGCTTCGTGGCGTTAGGCTTTGAGCTTAGACTTAGTGCTCAAGAAACAGATTAAATGATCCTACCCGGTCCTACCCCTTAAGGGAGACGTTCATACCTGACGTCCTTCCCGTGGAAAGTCAACATCCCTGCCATGCGAACAGCTCTGGGAACATGAGTTTGCACATTGGGCCACGCGCCCCGCAAAGATCGTATTTGGGTCACAGTTGTCCGGCTTCATGACATGCTCAGGTGGCACTGCAAAGGTTGCTCTCTTCGATGGCCAGCCTCCAGCATCCCATGGATGTCTCTGAGCAGCTTGAGAACAACCTGGCGCAGGAGCGAACCCAGGACATTGGCGGAATGCAGGCCCAGCCCTTATATGTCTAAGTTAGAGCATCAGAGCAGAGAAGCAGGAATTCGTCGAGTGGCTTCACGTTGCTATGATCATGAACCCCACTTGGCTGAGGCCGTCGCTATGTCGAATGCAAGCAGCCTCGTCTGTGCGCGCATCTCCATGACACCCCGAAGCGACTCCTGAATGTAAGAAACCACAGGCTGACAGCTATGATACCAATCGCCACAAGCAACACGTGTTAGAATCTGGCATCTAGGCTGTCTTGATTTGTCCACTAGCATAAACACACGCACACACACACACACACGCACACTCCCTCGCTCACTCACTCACTACTCACTCACTCACTCACCCACTCACACACACACACACACACATCCACGTGAAAAAACATGTTTTGCATGGATTGTCAGCAGCAAAGTGGGTCTTCACTCGAAAGAGGTCGTTGTTCGGAGCTTCGGAGAAGTCGAACTGACGAGCAAGCCAACTGGCATCTTCTGGAAGTGGCACCTCGTAGCCGTACTTCTTCAAGATTGGCACCTCGGAGAGGCGGGTGTAGGCTCCCCACTGACCCAGGACACAAGGCAACGCAGATCCATAGCTGTCGGTGTCTGACCTGCACGGCCAGCGCGTGCTCTACGTGGTGCCCGTGTGCAGCGGGAGAGTGGCGAAGCTTGATATACTCCGCATGGAACCTCGGCCCAGGCTCACGGAAAAATCAATCTGCACGAGGAGCATCACGAAATGCAAGAAAACCGCGCTCGCTGCCCTGCGTTGTTGGACTTTAGGTCGGGCATGTCAATCTGCCCAAGACGGCTTTTACCGTCTTTCCTATAGCCGCGTGGATTTCCCAGGAAAAGGCATATGGAACACACTCTCGCGCATCTGTCGTTACTGCCGCGTCCTGCGGCAGAGACCCATGGAGATGTGTTCAGGCACCGCAAGAACCAGAATTTCAATCGAGCTTATCTAGCTTGGGCGAAAATACCCGAACAGTCGATGCGCTTCCAAACCAAGGTCAAAGAAGAACCAAGTCGAAAGGATGCGTGACCATGATGCTTCACAAACCTTGCTATGTTCAACAAGAGTGTTGAGCAACAGCCTGTCGGGGATACGCGGATAATGAAAAACATGTCCACATGTCACGTTCATTTCAAAAAACAATGACAAAGCAAACGTGCTGCGAAAAGCAAGCACGGAATAATTTGGCACAAACTTGTCTTTAACTTGTCTTTTCAAAAGAACGATCTGATTATTGTTAGTACCAACGTTCACGCCGAGGTAGCAGCAGCAGCAGCAGCAGCAGCAGTAGCAGTAGTGGTAGCAGTAGTAGAAGTAGCACCGGCACAAGCACCAGCAACAACAACAAGAAGGTGCACTCGTACACAACACCACCAGCTCCAGCACCAGCACCAGCACCAGCACCACCACCACCACCACCACCAACAACAACAACAACAACAACCACAGCTATGACAACAAGAAGAAGAATGATAACCAGAAGAATAATCATAAAAATAAGAAGAAGAATAGTAGTAATATGGGTGATTGTAATGCCAATAAGACTAGATATAATGATACTAATAATCGTAACCATCAGCACCATCATAACAAACCTAAAATAACAATCATAACTAAAAGAATAATCACCGGAGTAACGATAACAACAATCAACATTATCAACATCATGACAAACGTGGTAACAATTTTGCCAGCAACAATGATATCTGCAGCAATGTGAAACGACGACAATGGAAATCAAATAAAGCATGTTAGTAACAATGGTAGAAACTATGACGATTCTAGTTGCGCCACCCACCTGGCAAACCTGTGCAGAATAACAGTTCCATGGCCATGGGAGTTACAGCAACAATCATAACAATACTACTCAAGACGAGGATAAGACTGACAATAATGAGGATAAGGATAAGACAACGAGGCAGCCAAGAAGCACCGGCTCAGAGTAGGCAGCCCGGAGCTCGACGAGCATGGCCGTGCAAGAGATCAGCGTGACATTCCTTTGGAAGGGCGGTTTCAACTTTTGACACTCACAACTCGCAAAGGACAGGCTAGGCTTCACGACAGGGGTAGAACTGAAGAACGACCAACGAATGCCCAGCGGATGATGACGATCCAAAAGCAGTAGGCCAAGCTGGAAAAGCGTACCAAGGGCTTCAGCACACTCACGGTTTCGGTGCACACTCTTACTCTCCAAGCGAGGCATCTGAAAACACAAACGGTTCAACAAGGTTTTTTAATTGAACGCCTGACTGGCGCTTGACTTTCCTGACCATTCGTGAATAACACCACTGGCTCTGCTCTTCGTCAAGCTTTTTTGCCTCCTGCATTGCTGAACGAGACAGCATGCTCATATTTTCGCAGGTGGCCGAATATGACTGTTCGCACACAGCCACGCTGTGCCGCTTTACGTCCGATGAACTGCGAGGCTGAGAGTGCTTTGGATATTGCTGGTTGCTACTACTCAGAGTAGACCACGAAAGTAACTCTGCGACAATCTGAAGTTGGGCCGATCAACCGAAAGTGCGTTTCTCAAACCTACGCTTTGCCCGAACCCGCTTGCCAACAGTGGCCTGCGGCAAGCAGCACCCCTCGCAATGCCATCCAAGGCACAGCATGGGCACTGTCGCATGCACTGGAAACGGCACAGGACCTGAAGTGACAGGCCTCAAAGCCTGCTAGACCTTGTATTAGCTTTCGTCCGGAGGGTTCTTGAAGGCCCTGTCCGAGTCTGCCAGGCCCGCAGTGCTTTCATCGAAATTTCCTGCTCGCCTTCGAGATGATCAATTTGCTTTGGCAAGGCAGGTCAACGAATCTGCCGACGATCGAACACCTATCATTGCTGTAACAACGCAACTTTTGTGTGGAGTTGGAGCCGCTCATGCTTGCGAACCCAGGGTCCGAAAAGCATCGGCGAAAGCTGCTCCTCATCCATGACATTTGGTGTCAGGGTCTGTGGCGAGACAGTCAATGAAGGAAGCTTAGGCTTGGAGGTCTCATTCTACGGAGGGCACTATCGTTCACGAATGCCGAGTCGGAGTTCCGAAAAAAAAAGAGATATTGCAGAAGCTGATGATGCTTCTCCGGCTCATCACACTTGTGAGAGAAGGGAACAGACCATGGTCGCCATCATGCCTGTAATCTGCTTCCTGAAAGTAGGCTGCCCCTTTGCCTGCGAAATTCTCACATCCCGGACGATCCGAGCGAGGCTTTACTGTTTCGGATGGACCGACTCCTTGTCATCGTCTTCAGTAAAGTCAAGATCTACAATCAGCCCATCCTACAGGCATCTCGAAATCGCTCCGGCGTGAGCAGAGGAGAAGCCAGCAACGCTTCCAACTCGGAGCCGTCACCTCCAGAAACGATACGTGCCAACACTTCCGATACGGTCGTGGATCATGAGGCTATAAGTATAAGGGGCAATAGCTGTAGCCAGCAGGATGCAAAGATAGCGACAGCACAATTCTGGTAAGCAGCCTTGAGATGTCTTGAGTATGGTCTCCTACATGGGAAGAAATCAAGAGAACGAGACTGGTTCTGGGCCTTGGGAAACGCCGAACACGAAAAGTGCAGAGACAACTGGGATTCCACGACGGCGCATTGCTTTCATCGCCCAGGGATGAGAGCAGAGAGAAGGTTTGAACAAGAGGCTCCAGCTAGTCGGAGGCTGGACAGGAACTTCAGGTGGAGGCCTTGCGGGCGTAAAGGGTCGGAGTAGAAGAAGAACGGGAAGATTAAGATAGATTAAGATGAAGCCTCTTTCCAAATACAGAGCATGGAAGCCTGGGGGCTGATGCAGTGCATCGTCGATCTGGTTGTCCCTGGAGATCCTGAGATTCTCTTCTTCTGCACAGGCAAAGAGGAGGCGCACCCCCTGGTCTTGGTCACTGGTAATAACCCACAACATGATGGAGGCCGGTGGCTTGAAACTGTGTCTCTCTTCTACACAGCCGAAGGAGGGCAGAGTCCTTCCCCCCCCCCCCTGCGCACAGGCGCGCACTGGTTCAGGTCTCAGGAGTGAACTGCGACACGATGAGGCCCCCGACTGCAGACGTAAAACTCCCTAAAAACTATTGTCACCCCTCGGGCCTCATCTGTGTCTTTCTTTCGCCAGGGCTGTGGACTGCCCCCCTAGCCTAACTCATCTGTGTCTCTCTCTCCCTCTCCGGGCATGAGGGGCGGTTCAGGCCCCTCCCACCCGTGTATTGCAGGCCAGGTGCAGGAGCGCAAAACAAGTTCCCAATTCCCCGAGGACGCTGCTCTAGAGCAGACTGTCGTCATACTGCCTCTCTCTCTCTGTGGCGTAAAAGAGCGACATCCCGCCAAGGACCTGCAGGTGGGCAATTAGCACCTGTGGACGTAACACCAGGCTCCGGAAATCGGACCGTGACAATGACAAGTCCCCAAGCGGTCAAGAACCACAATAGAAATACCAACAGACACAAAAAGTAGTGCGACTAAGAAAAGTCATCACAGGCATGAAGGTCTCTTCAACTTCCAAAAACGACGTGAATCTGTACTCCGATGGGAAGGCTTGGAAGGAAAGCCTTGAAAAGGAAAGCCTTTGTCCGAGCTGCGCATTTTCAGCGAGTAGCTTCAAATTGCGCACCATGATGTTCAGCGCCTTTTTGACCTTCTTGCGTGCCTGGCACTTTTCGGCTTGAGTATCTTTTGGTTCCGGAAGAAGCTAGGGCCGCACCACATCATGTGGAAGGCCCCGGAAAAGAAACTTAGCCAGAGTGTGAGATACAGTATGGAGAAATATACGGACATAGACCTACAAAAAATACACCCACCTCGTATTGTTAACAGATGAATTGACACGTGTACATACGATAGGTGCGTGTCAGTATGCATACCTGCAGGCACGACACTCAGGAGCTTCCACACAGCGTACTTATCAACAGTGACAGCAATACATGTACCAGCGCGCACCAGCTTTGAACCTTGGTAGAAGCTTTTATTCCGCCCGAAAAGCCTCCGCGGAGAGGTCCTTCCCCGGGGACTGCTTGCATTCGGCGCGCCATTCCTGCTCGAGGAGCGGTCGGGCTGTTCCAAAACCAAACCCCAACTCACCAAGCCTGCGATCTGCAGGGCATGCAAAAGCGTGATCGAGACTCCTTCAGAAGGTCGCAGATACCGGTTTTCGGTGCCAGAAGCGCAGAGATGATGTTTTGAAACCTCGGTTCTTGCAGCTGCAACTCGCAATGTTTGGGCAGCTGCTGTCTTCTAATGTTCTTCTTCTGGATTGCTTGCTTGCCGCAGAGTAAAGGCACGCACAGGCGCGCCTTCCCCCCAATGGGCTCCGTTCGTCCGGCGTCCCGCGGCAAACCAGGGGTTCTCCCCTACATACACCTTTAACCCTTCCTCTATGCCAATCCCCGCCTTCGCCCGCATCCCGAACCAAACCGAACCTTGCGCAACTGCACTGCCTTCCGCATTGACCGAGAAGAGCGCAGCCCCCTGTTACACCAGTTCTGGTGAATTATCTCTTCTTCCTCCCTCTCTCTCCCCCCAATTGT